GGTAACCCACCTGTAGGAACAGACAGCAGTCAGACTGGATGTTACTGCAAAAATCTGCACAATAAACTGACACATTTACGATGTGACCAAAAACGCAACAAATTAATCAGATTGCAAAGCTTTCTTCTTTATGTTAGCTCCTTTTTAACGCATATCTCTTGCTTTAATACAGCCTGACCATCCATCCATCCATTATCTATACACCGCTTAATCCTCACTAGGGTCGTGGGGGGCTGGAGTCTATCCCAGCTGACTCAGAGTGAAGGCAGGGGACACCCTGGACAGGTCACCAGTCTATCACAATTTAGAATCACCAGTTAACCTCAACATGTTTTTGGACTGTGGGAGGAAGCCGGAGAACCTGGAGAGAACCCACGCTGCACGGGGAGAACATGCAACCCACGACCCTAGTGAGGATCAAGCGGTGTATAGATGATGGATGGATGATGGTCATTGAGAGGAATATCTGTATGTTTTTTACTTTTTTGTTCACCTAAGTTTGTAATATTCAGAATCAAAAAGCCTTTGTCATTGTAGACTCGACACACAATGAAATTAGGAAAAAAAGAACCGCTATCTTGAGTAACCGTCTTTTATCTTAAATGGAAAGCACTTTGTCTTATATCACTTGATCAGAGATGCACAGATTCAGACTTTTTTCTCTGCAGATACACATCCTGATGCCTACACTCAGAGAATTTCAGCCCCAGTCTGATACCAGAACTTTCTTGGAAAGTCACTGATATATCAAGCTGAAATTTCACAAATGTCTTCATAAATATCCCAAATTTACGCTTTAAAAAATGCAGCCCAAGCAGTGATGTGTCTAAAAATTTGATGAAATGACCCCAGTGTAAAACAAATGCTGTGCAAATCCCCAAACCAGCCACGCCTCCTCTTTGTGCTCCATCTTCCTCAAAACACTCCCCAGTAACATCTGAGCCTCCTTCGTCCTACCTGGTCGGAGTCCAGTGTGACCCTCAGTCCCAGCTTGGCCATGCCGTCCTCCTTCAGCAGCTTCAGGTGTGGACACAGAGCCATGCAGAACGCTCTCGCCACGTTCTCCGTCAGCCGGCTGTGGTCGGCCGGGTCGCTCAGACCGTTGGGCTGGTCTTCACTCTGGAGGAAGAACACCTGAAGGAAGAGAAGAGAAATACTTTATTGATGCTCAAGGGGAAAGCAGAAAGAGTAAAGTGACCACCACAATAGGAAAATATTGAATATAAATGTAACAGAAAAAATGCACCATGAAGTAAAAATACTAACAATAAAACTCTACAGTGAATCATGACTGGATTTAGTGTTTGGAGGACAAAAAGAACTTGTACTTTTTTGCCATAAACGCCTCATTTTTTAAACACACTTGCGAGAAAATAAAGCTGCACTCAACAGGTTTGTAATGATGTAACGTGTGTCGTCTGTAAATTACGCAATCCTTCAAGCTGTGTTTACGCCATATTGACTGTATCAGATGGTTGTTACATATTTCGCTCTTTAATTCCCCTCCTATGTGGCAGCAAAGTATTCAGCGTGTCAGATCAGAATTTAGTTTAGCCTCAGTTAATGGAGCTGCAGCCTCGTGGGATATAAGGTTAAACAAGTTTAAACATTTCGTCCTGTGAGACTTGTGTGGTGGCCTGATTTCCTTCCTGATGCTCTGGAAAACGAGCAGCATGAGTAAGCTGTGTTGTACCTCGGTCCAGCGGATGACTTTGCCGTTGGCTTTGAACTCTGAGCCGTGGAAGATCTTGACGCTGGTGATCGACTCCATGGACTTCCCATCAATCGGGCTGATGACACTAAATGAACAAACAGAGCTTCATTAAAGAAGACGATTTACAACCTACACACACACACGACTATTAAAATACAGGCAAGGGAAAGAGGAGGGAGTAAATAAAACTGCATTTTCTCCTGTAGTAACTGTCAGCATGCCCTTGAGCAAGGCACTGACCTGCCAGCTGCTCGGCTGGAGCTGCAGACTGGCCGACATCAAAGACTCTGACCGAGGCTGCAGCCAACTTTGTTCCATTTTTTTCTGTTTAAATTCTATTTTCTAGAGCGAGAGCAGACACTGATCAACATCACTGTCAATGCGCTAGTGTCAGCCAGAAGGCAATTTGTTTTTAAAGCGTCCTTTGGCCAGATGTTGAATTTGTAGTTTTTTACAAAAACATTTGCAACCGAATAACTGCCAAATGAGCAAAACATAAAAACTCATAGTGGGGGAAAAAAAACTTTAATTCAAAATGAAACCATCATCAAAGATTTATTTGCTCTTTTTGCTTGTGTGCTCTTGTGTTTTGTTGCTGTAATTGCTCTATGTGCTGCTTTTTCGTGAGCTAAAGAAAATGCTATCTTCTTTTCTCTTTTAACAAGATCAAAAAAAAAAGGAGCATCATGCCAGCAGGCGACTAATGTAACCGTCATGGCATGACAGTGGCACGGTGGCAGGCCAAGTTACTGGTGGATTAAAGGTTAAAACAGCTGCTGTGTTTCAGAGAACGTTCCGCTAATGAAGTGATGTTGTATCTGGTGAAAGGCCTCAATTATCTCAAATGGTGAAAAGTCACTTATACGTTCATGTTTCATCAGACTGCTGTAGAATTGATTGTGTTGGTCTGCGTCTCAAAGCCATGTCAAACCACATCATTCCACCCCGCTAAGATTTTCCTCCAGAGGGCTTCCCCGAGCGTACATAATGAGTTTTTACAGCAAAGTAGTAAATGCAGCGGCTGGAAAGCTATCAGTTCAATTGTCCGTGACATAAACGCATCTCCGGCAGCCTCCTCTCCTCGTGCGGAGTTTTCTGTTTCCGTCTCACCCCTTGTTGAAGTTGTGGTCGTCCTCAGTCCACTGAATGTGGACGAGCTCCTGGTTCTCCTCCTGGTCGGCTTTTCCGCACGTGATGGTGAAGTCCTTCATGTCCCTCAGGGCTTGCCGTAGAGAGTCCATGGTCTCGGCTGTGATCTGGATCATGACACCGTCTAAAGGAAAGATCCATTTAGTGATTACTGCTGAAAGAAATGATCAAAAATCTAAAGAGAAAAGTTGAATGACAGAAAATGAATCAACAGTTTGAATTATGTGAGGTGAAACTCCACCAATTTGACACATGAAGATAAGTGAACTTGTCATAATGATGTTATATGTCTATACCATCAGTGTGGGGCTTGGAGGAAACTTAAATCTGATCATTACATTTGAGGTAAACGAGCTCACACAACGCTGATTAGGCCTCTAAGCTAGGAAGCAACCAAGAAAAGCTTGTGATGCTCCTGACCATAAAGAAACACCGTTCAGAGGATAGATTACAGTCTAAAAAAAGAGAAAGGGATCAACAGCATGGCATACATCATAAGCACCTGTTGACAATGTTTGGGTAATTATTCTCCCTGCCAGAAGAACCAAGTAGAAGTTTAACATAAAGCTTGTTTCATCTTGGAGGCGTGGAGCTCGATGCACATGTGACAAAAAGATTCCTGGTGGTAATTTGAGAAGTCTACGAGTAAGCATTTCTGAAGCCTGAAACATATTCGGACCCAAAGTTAGAGCATCTCAACCACTGCTGCACATATGTTGAGTATTTAGGGTCCGAGCACCCAAAAGGGTGCGAAGACCCTATTGGAACTGCTCGGATTATTATTATTATTCGTGCCAAAAACACGCGTTTTTGAGGCCCTAAACATACTCGAAAACTCACCAAAATTGCCATGTACATCAGACCCGGTGAAAAATTGTATAATTTGGAAGAACAATACACACTTCAATAGAGAAATTGGTCCACAGCGCCACCTTCTAAATTGTCAAAAGCACATTTGGCCTAGAGCTACGCAATTTTGTAGGCATATAGAGCAGGTCAGGATGAATAAAAAAGTCAGGCTGGGCCAAGTTGTAAAATGCAACACGGCTCAACGGCGCCCCCTACAATATTTCAACAGATTCCCATTGG